TGTTTGGATGCTTATGTTGCTGGGATCCTTTGATCCTCAGTGATCTTCCCAGGTCCCTTCCAGCCCTAATGCCTATTTGCCCAGATGTTTGGAAACCTTAAGTCCTGTTTTTAACTGCCTGTGTTGAACAGAAGTTCTTATCAGATCTTTTATATCTCTCTGCCTTGTTTGTGACATCTTTGTTGAATTACTTTGCCTCTGTAGGATGCTTTGGTGAAGTAATGGTTCTGAAGTTATTGCTGCTTGTTTGCCAGCCTTTTCAAACAGACAGTCAATGAATAGGTCTCTTCAGGGCCTGGAAATCCATTGCACTCTACCAAGGGTTGGTTTTGGGGTTTTTTTGTGTGGGTTTTTTTTTTTGTATGTGGTGTGTTTTTTTTCTGAACTACCTAATACACATTTTTCTTTTTCTCCAATGCAGATACTCCACATACTATTAAAAAAAAGTATTACAGGCAACCCCTGCTTAACATGGTTTCGATTAGCACTATTTTGCTATAGCGTTCATGTAAAATTGATACCTGATTTCACTGAGTGCTCAGCCAGTTTTGCTATAGTGCTCAGTGGAACAGCAAATTTTGGCAGGAAGGCAGGAGAAGCAGCTGTGGCAGCAGCAAGTGCAGTGAGTGGCAGTGAGTTGGGGGTGGGTGTGAGCATGGCGGGGGTAGGGAGAAGCCAGGCACGGCTGGTGAATACAGACTGGTGGGGCACTGTAGTGTCCCAGGGGGGGGGAAGGGGGCGGGGGTTGCAGCTGGCCAGGAGCGGGGTGGGGTTTACAGCTGGCTGGGTATGTAGTGGGGAGGCTGCAAACCCCGCTGCTCTCAGTTGGCTGCAGACATCCAACCCACTCCTGTGGGATGCTCCACCACCTGAGTTCACCAGCTGAAGCAGTGGAGATGGCGAGGAGTGCGGTGCCCAGAGCCAGGGCCAGCGGGGGCCTGTATCCAGGGTGGGACAGAAGGAGTGCAGGGGCCAGGGCCGGCAGGGGCCCATGCCCAGAGCGGGGCAGCAGGAGTGCCGGTGCCCAGGCTGGCATGTAGGGCTGGTGGGCAGGTGGATGGGTCGGGAGAGGCAGCAGTGGTGAGTGGGGGAGGGGATGGGCATCAGTGTGGGGCCTGGGTCAGTGCCCAGGGCCAGCGCCAGTGGGCGCCCAGGGCACGGCAGCAGGAGTGCAGGTCCGGGCTGGCAAGTAGGACTGGAGCGACCAGCGGGCTAGTGGGGAGAGGTGGTGGCAGCAAGAAGCGGCAGTAACCAATTACCTATATTTACTTTCATTCTTATGGGCAAATGGACTTCGCTTAACACGGTTTTGCTTAGCACTTGTTTTTTCTGGAACCAGTTAAGAGTGCTAAGCAGAGGTTTCTTTATAAATCTTCAAAATGTGATCTTTGCTTTGATTTGTGGAATTAAGATAATACTGAAATTTAAAAATCAGTGTTAGCATCTTAGCATTTATTCAGATGAATGGTTCACACCTCATAGTTACTTTCCGGTCCTTTGCAAAGGTGGGTGTACATCACAGCATTTGTTATGCTTCTTTCAGATTTTGAGCATGACAGCTAAGAAGACTTTTGAAAAAAATCAGAGATTTCCAAAGCAGAGCAATTATTTCAGAATACAGTTATTTTTTACTCCAGAAAATTGTCCACTGAAGGCATTTATACCCAGTATAGATATAGCATTATCATTATTACTGCTAATTCTTCCAGTCAGCTTCTCCATGTAGGAGAAAGGCACTCTGAGGAATTAGTTTAAGTGGCATAAGCTGAATTAGAACAAGGTACTGCTATTTTGGAATAACGGTTTGAGCGCAGGGAGCTGTAGCACTATAACTATAGTGCTGTAGTTACTTTGGTAAACTTTCCTGTACGGATACACTTCTACTTTCTCTGACCTACCTGTTTGCTTCACAGTGCTCTTTATTTTATTGCTTCCTCCTTCTATGATAAAAGAAGCGGTGTGTGTGGCAGTAAAAAAAGTGACAATCCAGTGTCTTATAGACAAGGCTTTTGCCCTTGAGGAGCTCAAAGAGATGTTTGAGAACACTTTGCCTCAGCTACCAGTAGCACCCTGTAGGCCTACAAGAATATATGGTAATTTGCATGATGGTGTAAGCTGGAACGGTGTTTAGAGGCATAGAGGGTCAAGCCTTAGTCTGTGTTAACAAGGAGGGTCTCCAAAGCCATCTGGTATACAGGTTCAGACTAACTTGTCATAAATATTATGTTACTGAAACTCAAAACTACTTTTTAAAAATATTAACTAATTCCTGTGAGTTGTTTGCTTTTTGGGATGGTGGGAGGAGAGGGCTTCACTCGGTGAAAACAAATGATTTATTGTGGGCATTGTAGGACATATTTGGGAATATTATCCATGCCTGATTTACCTAAATAATTATCTCCTGGGAGCAAGCATCTCAGCAGGATGATTATGGTGGAAATAAAAAGAGAACATAATTGATAGTAGAACATAGAAGACTCTAGAGTAGTATCTTAGCTTAAGTAAGTCAAAAGCGCTGTGGCACGTCACAATACTTGGATTACAGATGTGAGGAATGAGTTCACTGAGCCAGAAAAATGTTCCATTTCTGTTAAAATAATTTGCTCTTTGTGTTTCACTTTCCACTTTTGTTGGCTTAAACTATTTGACACCATAACCTGTTCTGTTAGATATTAGAGACCACCTTTTATTTTATTCTTGCTTGAGAGATTTTGAAGCTATTAAGAACTACAGTGCAAAACAAATAACTAAAAGTATAAACGGGGAAAAAAATCTTCATCTATCTACAAACACTTGAAGAGTTGGAATTTCCTTTTTTTCATATAAATGCTCCTCATAGGTTGCTCAGTATGTGGTGCTGTCTCTAGAATGATACAGGTCTTAACCTAGCTGTTGCACTGAAGAAGCCTTTCAGCTACAGTGAATGTATAGTTTTGAAGTAATGTATAGATGTAAAGTAAATGTACAGTATAGCATGTGACCAAAATATTTGAGAGAATGTGGGTGTTGAATGGTTTAGCATCCAATAGTCTGGAAACGTCCAGGTTGGTATTGCAGTTGGTCCTTCGGTTGTTCTTGTACGTACATTCTTCACATAACTTTCGTATAGAATTTCCTAGGTAGTCAGAGACCTGTGTCTAATTTGAAACTAGAAGAAAACATTTTTCATCACTGTCTCTGTTTGGATGCCACAAGTAACAAAGTCCAGGAGCAGACAAGGTGGGGAGACGAAATATATATATTGGGAGCAGGAGGGAGGTATCCAGAATTCAGGGCAGGGGCAGGCAATTGTTTTGAGTGGAGGGCCGCTTACCCAGTTTTGGCAGGCTGTCGAGGGCCGCATGGGTAGCCCTGCCCCTTTACAGGTGCCCCACTCCTTGACCCCGCCTTCTGGTCACAGTCTTGGGACCAATGTCCCAGGGCCAGCACTGGTGGGGCCCAAAGTGGGGTGCAGGCTGGCAGGGGTCTGTGGAGCTGGGCTGGGCTGCACTAGCAGGGAGGTGGGCCGGTGCCGGGCAGGACCCCACACTCCTGCCACCCTGTTCTGGGCCCCGTTGGCACTGGCCCTGGGACACCAGTGTGGGCCCCGTGCTCCCCGCCCATTCATTCCTAGTGACCCCCAGCCCCACGGTACAGGTGGGTGTAGCACAGTCCTGACCCCCTGATCACCAGCAGGGAAGAAGCTGGTGTTGAGCATGGGGAAAAGTGGCCCCTCGCCTGCCCCATGGCCAGCGCCCTATGTTGCAGGCGCTCGCAGTCCACATGGGGTTGTCTGGAGCAGGGACAGGCAGCCCAAGGTGGGCTATGAGTGGCTGTAGCCCAGGGCACTGGCCATGGGGTGGACAAGGGGCCACTTTTCCCTGTGCTCAGCACTAGCTTGTAACCCACCCCACTGCCAGCCTGGCAGTGGGGCTGGGTTACAAGCTGGTGATGAGTGCGGGGCAGGGGGAGTGGAGAAAGCAGCCCTGCCCTGCTTGCAGCCTGCCTGGGGCTGCCTGTGCCTGCTTCAGACAGCCCTGTGCGGGCTGCGAGCACCTGCAACACAGGGTGCTGGCCATGGGGCGGGTGAGGGTCTGCTTTTCTCCACGTAGGGAAGGAGCCCAGGGAAAAGCTGAGAGTGGGGTGGGGGGAAGCGGCCCCTCCCCTACCCCACTCCTGGTGTCCCACACTGTGGGCGCTCGCAGCCCGCATGGGGATGTTCAGAGCAGGCACAGGCAGCCCCACACAGGCTGCAGGCAGCTGCAGCGTGGGGCACTGGGCGTGGGTAGGGAGGGGCTGCTTCCTCCCCACTGCTTTTCCCCCATGCTCCTTCCTTGCCTGGAGTCCCTCCGCCCCCACTTACCTGAGCTTTCTGCGTGGGGGCAGCCACGTGCTCCCAGCCCAGAAACCCTAGCTGGGGCTTCTGGCTTGGGGGTGGGGCTGGGCAGGCCCCACTGTTGTTGGAGCCCACAGGGCTTCCCCTGGGTCCTGCTGCCCTTTTTGACAGGAACTAAGGGCAGAGAAATATTAATTTTCCAAATTTTTTTAGGGGTCCTGCAAGCTGGATAGAATGGCCTCACGGGCTTGATCCAGCCCGCGGGCCATATTTTGCCCACCCCTGGTTTAGGGTGTGGTGATGGCAGGGGAAGAACAGAAAACATTCATGAAGATGGAGCTGTAATAGTAGGGAAGGGGGTGGGGAGCGGGGGGAGAAGGGGGTTGGGGAAAAAGCCAGCCCTTCATTTCTTAGAAGGAGTGAATATTTTGTTACAGATTAACTTGCCATTTTTTTGACAAGTACTGTATTGACTAGCATACAGTATGCCCCCAAATAAGATGCACACCTTGTTTTGAAAGGCCAAATAAAGAAACAAAAGATACTATTTTGTAAATACTGGTAAGGAGCAGTAAGTAACTAAGTAATAGTATCTGCAGTATGAGTCTAACACACCATTGCCCCTTCCCTGAGCAACATATTCAGCTTTACTTTTGCTTTCCCCTTGCAAGGAAATATGGTAATAGCTTGCGGTATGTATGCATCCCAACTTCCAGCAGCTGAATTCTGGAAAAAAGTTAAGTTTTATATAAAAGAAAATACATTATCTTTAAATGAAAGAATTACCATATTTCACATACCATTTTGCTGTTTATCTACCTTGGCTCTAAATTTTGCTCTCATGTTCTCATACATTAACAGAATGTAGTAATATGGACGTTGCAAACATTGAAAGGGGAAATGGTAATTTTCCTTCTGTAGTTCTTGGATTTCTGAAAACTTTTACATAACTGAACTTGTAGCTGTTTTGAATTCTAAATTTCATTCCTTACATGGATTTATCAAGATATTATACATTTATTTGTGGCCAACTTTACTTTGTGTTTTATTTTAGTATAGTGCATTAAAAGCAGGTTTGATAATGCAAATATATACTTTTAATAACTTCACACACAAATGATGTTTGTGTGCCTAAGTGTTCAAAGATCAGTGCCAAAATTGGTATTTATTACATGTAGGCTTTTCATTCTGTTTTGCTATCCTTTTTCATGAAAATATTTCTCTAGGAGTTCTTGAGGTAATTTGCCTGAATAAGACTACATACAAGATTTGGCTCATGTTAACAGATATTGTCAGTCTATATTTATGGTACATTTTTAGTATAAAGATTCTGGAGAAATTGCTGTGTCAAAGCATGGTCTAAGAAAGGAAAAGAGGATTTCAAATGCAAGCAGTGTAACTGATAAGATTTAGCTCTCTCTAAGCTTCTAGTCATGTGGTATAGAAATGAATTTGTGGGGTAGGGATAGCGGAGGAAGCAGCGTTCAGTGAGCTACAGACTAAAGGTATTTTGCAGCTGTCTTTACTGTTGGTAGCTAAGTGCTGCTTCATGATCAGAATGTATGTTGAATTATTTGAGGCATGTTAAATATACTTTTAGCTATGACTAATTTGGAGTAATTATATATATAAAAAAAACCATATGTGTGTTTGTGTGTAATATACCTGTATATATGTATGTATAATCTGAGCCCATATTTGAGAAGAGATCTAGTTGCTGTGTTGCATACTGACTAAAATTTAGGCATCAACAAACTTCAGAACACTGAATTGTGCACTCTGGGTCTCCAGATCTTGAATGGAGATATTTAAGCACTGTTGTGTGAGGATTGACAGTTGCCAGGATGCTAAACAAGGATGTGCAGACTAGCTAATAGGAAGTGCAGAAGAGGGGCATGTGTCTGGAATTGTGTCCATCTTGTGGAGTGAGGCAGCATTTATTCTATTTGTTGTAGCCCCAGGTTAGGTGTTTCTGGTAACATGAGGCTTTCAGTATGAAACACCAGTGTAGACTTAATTGTCTTTGGGGAAGAGAAAGTAGGAGACCTGGGTTTTGGACTGCTTGCAGCCTATTTCTACTTTCTCATAGAGTGCCCCTGGATTTCACCCTTTTTTAATAAGTGTACCCCCAGTGGCTGGACGTAGAGTGGGGGGCCGGGGTGGTGCACAGCCATATATGGAGCAGCAGCGCAGGGTGGTAGGTGGCAGCAGCTGCCGCATGCAAGCTCCCCACCCCCCCAGTGTCTGGCCAGCCAGGTGGCACCTGTGTGGCCTGCAGAAGGGTGCTGCTCCCCTTGCGCACACCAACTGCTGTAACTTCCTTAGCCTGATGAAGGGTTTTTGAATGTGAAAGCTTGCTTAAAAATTGTTCTCCATCTATTTAGTTGGTCTAATAAAAGATATTAGATTCACCCAGAGAACCTTGTCATTACTTGATGTTGGCTTTTGAACCTTTTATTACAATATTCTTGTGTAATTTAGAAACCAACCTGTATGTGTGAACATGTGCCAAATTGCCAAGTCAAAATCTGATCAGTCTTCTTGATTTTAGTATTAGACTTTACCTTTCTCAGCATTGTGCCTGAAACAGATGTTTGTATTTGCCTAAAATTCTTTATTGTCATCTTTCATGGGATACTAGTTACGGAAGGTCAGAAAGAGGAGTTTGTGAGGTCAGTTATCCTGTCCCTTGTGTCTAGGCTAGGGAAGGCAGGCGAAGACCAATAAATACATGAAGGTAGTCCTTGGAGAAGGGGAAATGGTCCTGGGGATTAGTTAGTGTCTGGAAGAAGGCATGGGTGGGGCAAAGCTCCTTTTTTCCAGCTAGAATATGCAGGTATTTGGAAGGCATTAGGAGAGTGGTTAGAAGATGGGGACAAATAATTCAAAAGAAGTAGGAGGGCTGCCAGTGAGAACTTGTGGGAGGAAGAACTCAGCCAGGCCACAGGCCTGAAAAAGAAAGCCTCAATGACCCTGAACTGGAGCAGAGAGTTCATAGGCCTGGGCATCCAAGACTGAAAGTATAGCTTGAAGAGGGGGTTTGTATTAAACACTCTAGGTATGAGTGTATTATTCAGAGAGACTAAAGCAGGGGAGGGTCTGTTTGTTTGCATATCCAAATCCTTTATTTATACTAGTAGAGAAACATCCCACAAGTGTCAGGCAGCTACTTGATTTAGAGCAGTAAGTTTAGGCTTTATAGGTAGAACTACTACATTTACTTGAATTTAAGACCAGGCTTTTTTCCCCATTTTAACAGGGGTGAGGGTGGGAGGAAGAAACCTTGTCTTGGATTTGTGTACTGCCTGGGCCAGATGGCAGCCGTAGCTCCGGCTCTAATTCTGAGCCCGACTTGGGAGGGGGATGGGAGGGATACTGTGTTGTGTGACCCAGGAGGAAAGCAGGGGAGAGCATGTGATGGCGAGGGAGCTTCTCCCACCAGCCAGAGCTGCTACATAAGTTAAGTGATGATGAGGCAGGGGCAGGCACTGAGTGGGGAGGCAGGTGGCAGGAGGGACAGAGGCTTTGAGATTGTCATGGGGTGGGACAAGTAGTATAAGGCCAGGCTGCTTGCCCCCTTGCTGCTGAGTTCCTTGATGCAGCAGCTCAGAGGGTGAGGGGTATGAATTTAAGATGACTCTCCAATAATTAGATTCTATATATGGAAAATTTATAATATTCCATGATAGAATCTTATCATAGGGGGGTTGTCTTAAATTTAAAGCTGTCTTGGTGTTGGGTAAATAGGTAGATTTGCTTAAGATACAGGCTTGCTAAAAAAATTGACCCTCAGTATAAATTGATTATTCAAAAAAAGAGAAACAAACTTCTGAGTACAGTAAAAGCCACGTTAACTGGCACTTCATTAACCGGCATGCTCTATTAACCGGCGTGCCAGTTGACGCCAGTCAACATGGCAAAAGGGAAACTGGATGTTGGACTTCTGGTTTTGTCGAATCCCACAGCCCGGGGGAAAGCAGCCTGTGTGGGGTAAAGCAGCCTGTGCGGAGTCCCCCCTCCCTTTCCCCCGGCACACTGACACCAGGGGAGGGGCGGCATTTTTCATCTGAAATGTGGACGCACCAGATGCAGTGGGAGGGGCAAAGATGCCTCTCAAGTAACCGGCACATTTGGTTATCCGGCACACCCCATTTCCCACGGGTGCCAGATAATGGAGCTTTTGCTGTAGTTGGAGTGTGTGGGGGCAGGGGCGGGTGGACTCTTTGAAATTATAGGAATGGGAGAGATTGTGGAAGGTGAATGTGGTTGCCTGTCTCTGAGAAGACTGTGCTGTTTCTTTGCTAATATGCTTACATGCCAGAGACAGAGCTTGAAAACAGCGGAGGGTCCCTTCAGGGCAGCTTCATTCCCAGGTTTGCTACCTACAGAGCAGAAGCAGATGAGCAGGGCCATTCTAAATAAGGATATCAAGAGCACTGTAGGAACTTTATTGACATATCCTTGAAGACTTAGTCTATAGCAACTTAATAGTTTCCTCTTCCTGTTACTGACTGCTTGATCACAGGCATGCTGATAGAGCAGAAAATTATACTGTTGTTTTGTAAATAAAGAGAACTTTAGTTTTCTTTGGCACCTTTCAGAAAGCGGGTAACTTAAAAAAAATCACACTTCTTATTGTCTTTCTTTTTCAGAATAAGCAGTTTGCAAGTGCCAGTTTCAGTACTCATAGTAACAAAATGCCATCTTTGCAAAAAGATTGCTGAAGTCTCTCCAAAATTGCATACTTGAAGTGAGTTTAGTTTTATTAGTATTATTTTTCATTTGCCATAGGACAACAGGATTTTGGGCTGTTTGGTTCAGGATCGAGGAGGCAGAGTTGGGAGTAAAGCAATGGCAATTTATTATAGTTTACACACGCACACAACAGTTAACAGAAAGATAAATGCAGTAAGCAGATGATGCAGTATTAAAGAGCTAATAGTAAATAATAACAACAGAAAATGACAACAGAAAATAGATCAATCTGTCGCAGGCCAGCTGGGCACTGCGAGGGTATCGGTCACTGGGCTGTTCAAAAGAACAGATAGACATGGGTTGGCAACTTATCGATAGTCCCTCAAGGCCAGGTATGCGCCAGGTGATTTCAGCAAAGTCAGGCGTCCCCGATTTGACACTGTTGGAGGGATTACTGGGGAAGGTCCCTTGATCAGGATCCGATCGTCACTCACACCGGGAGTCTGGGTCTGGGCTTGGAAAAGCAATTACTGTCCTGTTCCCTCCTTCCTGCTGGTCACATGACACACGTGCTTTTTGTACCTAATCTTATGCTAATCTGTTGGCTTTAGAGCCACTCACAATCTTGTCCTATAGTGGTTACCCTATGGGATTAAAAGGTGTTAAAAATTATCATAAAAGGTTACTACCCAAGCTTGGGTTTATCTAGTAAGCAAATTACAATGCAGCATTTTCAGGTTTGAAATTAACATTACTGCGCCTAAATCCAATCCCTTTTAGGTCTCTCTGGCTATGCTTTTTTGAGACATGGTTTCCTGGGTGTGCCAGGCGGTTGAATCCAGTTTTTATCATCAAGGCTTAATTCTGAGCAAACACTGTTAGGTCAGCTAATCTTACAGCTACAGCTTTGTCTTTGAGGCCTAGTCAGTTTCATGAACAGTTACAAGTGACATTTGCGGGTTACAAACTTACAAGCTTTATATTAGACAAAAATTCTAAATGCCTCCAAGAAACACATATATATTGCTTATTAATCTTTTTGGTTCTGGCTGTCACAGCATGGCTAGTGGAAATACTGGAAACAGAGGTCTGACTTAATTTTTGGAGTGACTAGTTAAGATTCTAAGCTGTTTGTAAGATGGATGCTTTTTTGTTCTCTGTACAGTGCCTAGCACCAGGGGTTCCTTGCTATGATTAGGGCTCTTAGACGCTAATTGAATACAAAAAATAATCTAAGCTTTCTTGTTTTAAAGTCTGGCTCTTTTTTTAGTGAGGTAATCACCGTCCACTTGAGATATTTATACATTATTATTATTATTATTATTATTATTATTATTATTATTTAACCTGGCTTTAAAACATTGTGGCTTAGCCGTAGTAAAACTAACAAGTGTAACCTTCATACTTGTTCAGTGTCAAGTGGGTATTTTTAAAATGGTACTGCTGGAAGGTGCACCCCCATGCTAACTAATATTTAACTTAAACTTCCCTTGCTGCAACTTGAAACCATTGCTCTTTCTTCTGTCATCTGCCACCACTGAGAACAGTCCAGTTCCATCCTCTTTCGAACCCTCCTTCAGGTAGTTGAAGGCTGCTACTAAGTCCCCTCTCAGGCTCTTCTTCTCCAGACTTAAGTAAGCCCAGTTCTCTCTGACTTTCTGTACAAGTCATGTCCCCCTCTCTTTTCCTCCCCGGCAGGCTGTTTGGTAGGCCGTAGTGTCCACAAGGCCTGGTGGCTCCCCAGAGAGAGCCCGCATTTTATTTTCAGTGAGTTTTTTTTTCTTCCTTTACGTCATTCTTCCTTTCCTTCCTTCTTTTTGTTGAGGGGGAGAAGCCCGCTAAAAGTACGGAGTTTGAGTTTTTTTGAGACTCCACACTTTTTTGTGGGGCCTGCCCAAAATTGTGGTTTCTGCAACAATCACTATTTCATGATTTTTGGTAGGTCCCAAATGATACTTCCTTATTGGCTTGGTAACTGAATCCACAAATACAGTACCCTTGAGCTGGGACACAACTAACATGGAGAGTGTTTTTTGGTATACAACTAGTGTTTAAAACTGACTTAGGATGAAAATGTGTCAAGTCTCCCAGCTTTGCTGTAGAGACCTCCCTTATAACCATGGCAAGTTTCCTGGGCCTAGATCCCAGAGCTCTTTTAGTATGCATATTTTATTGACTTTATTCAGAGTTAGAATCTCAGGGGATATTTAGGTGCCTGAAACTTAGTTCCCAATACGTTAAATGAATGAGCGTATTTCCTGACCTTGCAGAGGTATGTAAAGATGTATGTGTTAAAGATTATGAGGTTCTTGGATATTACAGCAATGGAGAGGATAAAAGTTTTAAGCTAAGTCTGTTTTGCTTCCATGGTTATCTTTTAGATCTAGCAAGGAAACTGTCTTATCTTCGTTGATTTTGTTGGAAGACTTCTTAGGGTTCTTGGGTATGTTTTTATCAATGCTCCATGCAATCTTGGATGTAAACAGTCTAATTAAAAATGGTTTCCTAGTATTCTGTCTCTTTTATGTTTATTTTAACTTTACTGGTTCTTAAGACCCCATCATCTTCTAAAGTAGAGAAAACTTGATTTTTTTTTTTTAAATGAAATTGGCTAAAGCAGAAGTTGAATGTTTGTCTCAGTCCTGACCCCATCTTTACAGATGATCCTTTAAAGAAGAAATATGGAAACAAGTCTTTTAAATATTTAGATTGATTACACCATAATCTATTTTCTTGGAACACTTTTGAGGGACAAGATGTGGAAACTGTTATAACAGGCTATAATTAGTCTTGCTTTTTTTTGAGGGGAGATGGAAGAATTAGTAAAGGGTTTAAATGGTGCTTTAAGTGCTTGATTTAAGTCATATTGGTATAGAAGATGTTAAGGAATAAAGGAAGGAAAATAAATATAGTATAATTTCATAAATCAAGTACAGTTTTTTCACTTTCCTAGTTCATTCTTGCAAATCTCAAAAGCAGGTTCTTTCCAATATTGTACTTTCAGCCTCTCTAGATTTGGTTTTGTTTGTGTCATAATTTTGTGCTAGTCATACTAAAAGGTTTGCTTGTATAAAAACTTTCAGGAATCCTAAAACCTTTTGTTTGAATTGTAAGACCTAATTTACTGGTTTGTTGTGAGAGATGTAATAAAAATTTCTTGGGTCATTTGGCTCCTCAGCTGCTTGGATGAGAAGTTAATTATCTTTGAGTAAATTTTTTCTGTTTGTGCAGGTGATGAAACATTACATTTCTCCTTTAGTGAAATTGCTCTTTGCTTGGAAAAGTCTTGTCTGTTTAATACCCAGGCTTGTATGCAACTTGAAGGGAAATGTTTTTCTTTGTGGTCTGAGATAAAAAGTTTTTGACTAGCCAAACCAGTTTCTCTTCAAAAGAAACATTATCCATAGAGCTGTTTTTCTTCTTTCTAGTTGTTCTCGTTTTAGTGTGTGGGGGGGGCAACCCCCTCCCCACACATTAACATTCTTCTAATTTTACCTTTGACCTTAACTGGCTTCCAAGGTTTTAGCTGCTTCTGTATAAAGGTAATTGTGTGGGGTGACAAATGAAAGATGAATACTGGAGTCACTGCCTTCTACTGGCAGTTGTAGCTGCCCTTGATGAGTCTGAATCTTGGGTTATTCTTGCTGTGACATATATACATTTATTATTATTTTAAATTGTCTTGTATCAGTTGACACAGTGCTTGTGGCTTTTGAACAATAATTTTGAATAAAGGCTTAGCAAACCCTGTTTTAAAGGGCTTATTGGATTTGATGCTTATTTATTACACAAACCAGATTACTAGTGCCTAGGTTGCATTCAGCTACTTGCCAGCATACAGAATTATCAGTTAATTATTAACAAAGTTAATCAAATACTGTAATTAGCAAACCTAGCCTGTCTGTCTTTGTGGTTTTTTGGACTAACTCAGATTAGAAATGAAATGTTAGATATCTGAGATTTGTAAGTGGGGCATAGCTTATTGGAGCCTGCATTATATCTCATGTTCTTAAGGGGTTCATGAGACAAGTATAGATACCGAATGAGAAAAAACAAATCCTTTTTTATTAACAGTCATGGAGAACTAATACAAAATAAAACTTCCAGCTGTATTTGATCTTCAGAGTTTACCGCCCAATTCCCACACATAACCAACTCTATCTGTTACAAGGAACTCTCTTTAAGTTCTAATCTTTTGATTTACATATCACTGCTTTTTTTTCCAGCTTAACTAGCATCTTCTTTGTGCCCAGATTCTTTAGTGGCATGCTGAAAAATGTGCCCATATGTTTTATGTTGGGTTTAGTCTGTCTTCCTATGATATGCTGAATATCATCGCAGCATATACCAATGCAGTAATTTCAAACATGCCTCAGAAACAAGCTGACTTATTGGCAAGAATCCATTTTTTTCTCTTCCCAATAATATATCTTGTCAGAGATGAGGAAAACAGACAGTTCTTATGTGGTTCATTTCCCCCTAATATTGGATGAATGTTAGCAGTTTGGTTGGGGAAGTGGGGGTCTTGTGGTGCAGTTGCACCCCATTTTGATTCCTGTTCCACCCAAACTTTAAAACCAGCTTCTTAGAGACAGTGGCATTTCTATTCAGGCAGTACAGTTGACTTTATGGCTTTATTATCATCGTCCTCATTCCTGCTAAACTCTTACCTGCTCCACAGGTGCTAATGACCTCCTGTCCTTTTTAATTATCTTGATG